TATTTCCATACTGCTCCACAGTGCTTTTTTCGTAAAAAAAAAAAAAGTGCCGGAACTCACGTCGCTGCCGGCAGTAAGCACTCGGCGCACGACCACACACAGCAATCCCAAGCGGAGCAGAGGGGAGCAGCTGTGTCCCACTATCAGGCACAACAGCGGCCTGCAGGCACTATGTTAATGATGTTTGCTGCTGATCTGCTACCCATTCAAAATCACTTCGTAAAATCCATTGGAAAAAGGGGGCCGGAACAGCAGTTCTGGTGCGTTCCAGGACAAAAAAGGCCCGGCTGCGCCACATCCAAACAGAGTCGGGAGCAATGAACATTGTGGAGGTAAAGCAAATACAATAACAGAAACAGCACATCAGGAAGATTTTAAAACACAGCAACTTTAAGACTGTGACTGGTCAGCCAGAAAAGTCTTCCCAGGACAAGACTGTCCTTTCGGGTGCCAGAATGGCACAGTGCGGGTGCCTGAGCTCCTGAGGTCTATGTTGTAAGCCGCCCCGAGGCTTCGGCGAATGGGGCGGCATAAAAATGTTTTAATAAATAAATAAATAAATAAATTCCCCAGCAAGGGGCCACCACCCAGCGGGCTGGTCTCCTGGCGGCCTCCGGTGGGCCGTGGGCCTGTGGGGACCCGCTGGGAGGGGAGAATGCCCTCCAGTGGCCTCGGTGCCCAGGCAGGTGGATAAGGGAGGGGGTCCTCTCCCGGGAAGCCTGGTCTACGCTGGCACCGAACTCTGTAGCCTGCGCGGCTCCTTCAGCTCAGGAGCTGCCCGCTGAGAAGCGGCAGTGCCTGCCAACGGCTGCTATTTCCGCACCAACCCTGCTTCTGGAGCAGGTGAAAAAGCAGCCCTACATGGGGCGCGCTGCAGCAACCCAGCCCCGGGGTCTCCAGCACCTGCCTCGCTGTGGCCAGGCCATCCCTGACCACGGAGGCCACAGCTGGGGAAAGGCCCGGAGCTACCCAGTTGCCTGCGAGTAGGGTCTGAGGCAGCAGTGATGCGCCGGGGAGGCCCTCAGGTGGCAAACGGCCCATGGGATGCCGGACAGGATGGCTCCCTGCCGAAGCCCGTGGCTGAATTGCCAGGGAGTTGAGGAACGGGTCCACAGACGAGTCTGGAACCACTGCAGCTCCAGGGCTGCAGCGTTAGCCCAAGGAGCCGATCCAGGGGGACGCCACAGTCCATGACACAGAAAGCCACTGCGAAACGGAGCAGACAAGCAGGGTCACCTCCCCACCTCCTTCCCAATAGCAGTCATCCACTTGGGGGGCCAAGACTGGTTCCATCCCACAGCTGAAACTCCACCTGAAATGGGCCTAGTGAATCCGCATCCCCAGGAGCACCACCGTGCTCGCAAGCACCTTCCCTGAGAAGGTGTGTTGCCAAGGACCATCGGGTCCAGAGCGCAGGCTTTTCAGGACTGCTGGCACCTTGAGGACTGGCCCCCCATCAGGACCCGGGAAGGCAGACCCCCTCCTTTAGCGTTATCAGCCAGGAAGGGCAAGGGCGGAGATAGCTCACGGTCAGTGGCTCTACTGCAAGCGCCTTGCCTGAGTCATCCAGTCATAAATGATCCCACAGAATTGGGCCCCAGACCCCGCAACGGAAGGCGTGCCAGCAGCAGCCTCAGGTTCAGCCCTCAACGGGGGAGTCCTGAGGGGGACCCAAAGCACAAGGAAAGGAGGCTGAGGCTTTGCCAGGAGCCTGTCTGCCCAGCAGAGCTGCTCTCCTCCCCTCTCTGCCCCCAACAACCCATCCAAGATCATTCTTACCAGCTTGTGGTGGCAGCCACAGAGCTAGGCACTACTGAGATTGGTGTCCTAGGTCTGAGTTCAGAGCAAGCTTCCAAGATCAGAGCTGGGACCCTGAATAATCCGACACCTCTCCAAACTCCGCAGAGCAGGCACCCTGGATGAGGTTTCCATCTTTCATTTTGTGGATTTGTCTTATCAGAATGCTGGACAAATTTGGATTAAAACATACTTCCTTCACATCATTTACATTTGAGGGGAAACAAAACAACGATACTGAAATCTGTTGACAGACCAACATACTTTACTAGCCTGACGCAATGTGTGTGATACGCTGAGCAGACACTCCTGCGTCTTGGATCTGTCCATAATTAAATACATTTTACGTATCTCAATGACATGTTTGCTCTCTCACATGCTTGCTAGAGATGATCCAGCAGGTAACGAATCAGTATTTGGTGATCAATTACCTGCAGTTGGCATCCACTCTTTGTTACTAAGGAACTTATGAATAGAGCACAGTTGGCAGGTCCAGAAAAACCTCTGCCCCACGTCACTGCCTCTGTTGCTTCTTCTTCAAGAGCTCACCTGGAAGGCAGAAGAGGCCTCTGACAAGCCACTTGGACTCTCTCCTAACACTGGATCGTGGGTTGTTGAGACACAAGTTACGTTGCCATGGCTTATTAACCATGAACAACCCACGAAAAGCCAAGCTTTGTTTTTGGATTGGTTCCTCGCCATGATTCTTTATTGCAGCTGTGTTCAGACAACGCATGTTTCAGCAACCCAAGTCAAACTCAGCCCATACTTAACAATGGAGTGTGGACTGACATGGCCTCTGAACCCAGTCACTGATACGCATCCACAACCGTGGTCTCCATTCCTTCAACAGGGCTGGTGTGGGAGGAATTCCCAGGGGGTTCTCTCCATGACACCCAGAAATTGGAAGATGCCTTCTTCCAGGCCTGCGTTGCCTTCTCAGAAAGCAGCACCCCCCACAGCGGCCTTCACCAAGTTTCCCCCTCCAGGTGCGATGGGCTGCAACTTCCAGCTGGTGTGGCTACAGAGAAGGCTCTTTCAGGGCCTCTCCCATCCCATCCCCGGACCCCTTTGGCTGGAGCTGCCAGGGACACAACCTGCATCCCCCCACAGGGGGTGTACTGATACGGTTTGTGCAGCAGCCCCCACAGCCCTGCCTCCACAGGGCATGCCAGCTCAGGCAGCTCTTTCATCTGCACCAGGAGCGTGTCTTTTGTAAAGTGTGCAATTCTCAGTTGCCCACACAAGGCCAAGCACTCCCCAAAAGCAACAGTATATTGTGGCCAGGAAAAGCTGTGCTGACTTCCTCCAACACACAGCTACTGCGAGGAAGCTACAGGTGAGGTACACGTGCTACCCATTAAGCAAAGCGTTCCATGCTCCACCCCATGAGCTCCAGCTGCACTGCCCCGCTGGGTACCACTGCACCACAACCTTTCCTCCAGCCCAGTATTTGCCTGGCCAAGCACCACCAGTTTCCCACCAGATGTGCTCCAGATCGCAGGTAAAGCTTCCTGACAGAACAGGGACACGTCTTGTGTCCACAGTGTTCTTTTGCTTCCGACGCCAAAGCCCCGTGTGCTGAGGCTCTCCCCAGACAGGAGTCAGCAGCAGCGCAGCAGAGGCAGGTCTGGCCCTCTTCACCTGCACTGCCAGGTTCTGCATTTTGCCGCGTGTATCTTCTCCCTGGCTTCACCACCCTGGGGATAAGTTGCAGCCAGCCTGCTCTGAGCAGGAAGGAAAGGAAAAGGAAGCCAGGTTTAGACCCAGAACTTGAATGAACCAGGTGCCAGATGGAGGGGGCAGCTGTCCAGGGAGTGGGGGATTCTTTGGGCTCCCTGGGGGACTTTGAGGCCCAAAAAAACCCTCTGTGTCTTTCAGCAAACCACAAATGTGATTTTTAAAAAGCTTGTCAGGGGCTGATACCTCTTGTGCTCCCCTTTGAAACTGGGGAAAGCATTGCTTTGCTGCTGCAGAATTGTGGGAGAAAAAACTGCCCCTTTCTTTAAGAAACCTGCAAAGAGATGCTCTGTATGGCTGCATTAGATCAACACCTGCATAAGTTGCAGCATAATGTATGTTTTTTAAACAAACCACTACTCGCTCCAAGCCATTTGGGCTTCTGGGCTTCATGGCAGCCTCCACCTGGCTCTGCAGGCAGAACAGGGCAGAGCCTTGGCTTTGATCGGCCACGCCAGGAACAAGACCTCCTGGTACCCCCAGACGCCAGACCGTGGGAGGCTGTTGCCGTGCCAGAGCCACCTGCTGCTTGGAAGCAGAATGGACCCCGGCCTGATCCCCCCGGCCTTTGCCCATTGTAGGCAGGAGTCCGGCCTCACCGTTACGGGGCAGTCCACCTCTGCAGAGCGCCAGGTGCCACGCGGGGAAGGAGGACCGCGGGGACCTGTGCGTAAGTGTCAGAAGCTGGACTGCTCGGGCTCCAGACCCGCAACTTGCTTGTGTGGAAGGCGCCCAGGGACAGGTCTCCCAGCCCTCTGCGCCCGACGGAGGGATCGCCGGGCCCTGCCGGGACCGAAGGACACTCCCCTGGAGGGACTTTGCCCCAGGCGGCTTTCCCACGCCAGGCGGCGCCGGCCACGGGGGCAGGGTTCCGCGGGGGGCCGCCCAAGGGCCGCCTCGGCGGCTAATCCCTGCCCTACCAAAAGCTCCGCGGCAGAGGGAAAGCGGCACTGACTCGCCGGCCGTCGGAGGGAGCGCGACAGGTCGCGATGGCGCCCGCACGGCCCGTGCCGCTGCCGCTGCTGCTGCTGCTGCTGCCGCTGCCGCCCTGCGCCCGCGCCTCCCTCGCCTGGGGCGGAGGCACCGCCTTCTGCCTCGCGGGGGACACCGCGGGGGGCGGCGCGGGCCCCGGCCGGGCGCTGCGGTTCCTGTGGCAGAGCCCCCGCTGGCCGGACCCGGTGCTGGTCTCGAGCGTCTGGGACGCGGGCGCCGGCGAGCGCCTGCTGGGGTGCTCCGTGACGCGCGCCCCGGACGAGTCCGGCTGGTCCGCGGAGCGGTGCCCCGCGCTGCGGGCCGAGCTGGGCGCGCCCCTGCGGGACGACTCGGCGCCGGGCGTGCAGCGCAGCCTGGCCGTCCTGGCGGCGCGCATCGTCGAGTGCCCCGTGCTCAGCCTGCGGGACGCGGCCGCGTTTGCGCCGACCGTGCGGGCGCTCGAGGCGGCGGCGCGGGCGGCCCGGGAGCGCGTCCGACGCGGCGTGACGATGCCCGGCACGGTGTGGTGCGGAGCGGGCGACTCGGCCAGCGACTTCTCCGACCTGGGTGAGGAGGGGCGGCCCGAGGGGCGCGCACGCCTCGGTCCTCGACCCCGCGCGGATCTGCCCGACGGCGGCCGCTGGGCACGGAGGCAGCGCCGGCCGCGGAGTCCGTGGGAGGGAGGGCTCGCGCGGCCCGACAACCCGCGCCCGAGGCTGGATGCGCGCTGCCGCGGGTGTTGGGTTGCTGCCTGTGCAAAATCCGGCCCCGCTAAGCAGCCATGGCTTCTGCACTGGACGCAACTCAGAGTTTGCTCTTGGGGGTAGGAAAAAGGACAAGCCCTGGTAGGGAAAGGTACGAGGGACCTCACCTTCTCATAAGGAGGGCTCAGCCAAGCCGCCCCCCGCAGCTGGTCTCCACTGCCAGCGACTGGCCTTGGAATGTAGCGTGCGAAGACGTCTGAGCATATGCGGAGTGTTTTGTTCCTGCTATTTTCACCTGCCAGCCCACAGAAATCAAGGGTTATGGGGAGGAAGGAGGAACTTGACCTGATGCCCAGGTGGGCTTGGGAGGGAGACCCTCTGCTCTGAAGATGCTGCCTCTGCGGCAGATGCCTCCAGGCTGGACATCAAGCTTGCCCCAGAAAAGTGTTCTTATGCCTGAAAGTGTTGTGAGCACACCTGTGCAGGAAGGTGGTGTGAACCACTCCACATGCAACCACAAAGAGGTTTCTTCCCTCAGCACGTCGATCGCTCATGGACCTCCTCGCCACTGGATGTGGTGCAGGGCCTGAGCTGGAAAGGGCAGGTCAGTCTCTGATGATGAGCCCAGGCAGGTAAGCAAGAGCTGCTCCGTCTCTGCTTGCCAGATGCTGGCCTGCAAGCGACAGGGCCCAGTTCTGCTGATGCGCCAGCCCCTTTCCTTGGAGTTTCGCCAAGAGCGCAGCTTGCCTTGCCAGCGTCCTTGGCAGGGGCTTGCCGTCCCGTGCAGATCAGCCTCCAGTGTTCTGGTACCCCCAGGCTGCTGTGGTGAGCAAAAGGCATTTGCCCGTTTAGCATCCAGTCCTTCATTCATGAACTACACAATGTCCCGAGAAATAAACTGATACAAACTGTGAATTTTTTTGTCTTTTTCTATGATTCAATGAAGCGGGCAGCTCAGACAAAAGCCAGTAGGACAGAAGGCTTGAGCTGCAGTTACCTGGAGAAAAACGGTTTTATTCGTTGTAATAGCATTGCATTTATTTATGGCATTCACATTCATTCATTTATTTCATTTGCATTTGTTCAGTTCTGTGCAAGATGGGGAAAAGGGACATTTTGCAGAACTTCCCAGAGGTGTGGAGGGCTTTGGCAGTTGCTTTGTCAATGGCAGTAAAAACCAATTAAAACATAAAACTGCTTAGTGCAGGCTAATAGGACAATTCCTTGCTCCTTGCTCGATTGAGATCCATAGTCAAGGATTGTTTGCTGTCCAGATTAACCCTTCTTTTCCTATTCTGCGAGAAACTGCTTAGAGAGGACACCTCTGCTCCAGCAAGCCCAGGCTACTTGCTGGTAGGCTATTCACACAGCCTTCCTGCCAGCGGCACCTGAGATCCGTTTAACTGGGCCTTTCAGTGAGGCTTGCGTACATGGCCAAGTATCTCTTGGCCAGCTGCAGGTTTGCCCCGAATTTTCTGATGCAAGGGTCTGAGGTTGGGTGGGATTTCAATGCACTATGTCACGGGCTTTGGTTAAATCTGGGCAAAAGATTACAGCGTGAAATTACCGGCCAACGTGAAAGCGATATTGGTATCTGCCCGCCTGACGCATACGCCCTTCGGGTAGGGAGACGGGTAGTTTCCGCAGCAGGGGCAGCGTTGCAGGGGCTCCTGGGTCAGATCCACCCTTTCTTGCAGTCCCTGTTCCTTTGTACAGAAACTAACCAGCCCTGGCTGACCTTCTGTTGCAGGAGCTTTCCAGGGCCCGGACAGCTGCTGCCGAGAGCACGACCAGTGCAGTGTTCAGATCACTGCCCTGCAGCGCAAGCATGGGATCTTTAATTTACGCCCGTACACCATCTCCCACTGCGACTGCGACACCCGGTGAGTAAAGAGCGGCGAGACTGCCTGGGTCCCAAGTTTGGGTCCTCAGATGTTGTCAGACTGCAGCTCCCATAAGCCCAGGCAGAAGGGCCAAAGGGAGGGATAGTGGAAGGGATTGGGACCTTCATGCCATAGTCACGGTGAAAGGCCACCCTGCAAGCCGTTCTTTGCTCTCTTGGAAGCGTGGCCCCAATGCAGACTCTGACTAAAGCACAAAGCAAAATGGCCGAGAAAGAAACCTTTGGTTGCCTCTGCTCTTTCCTCTGGGGAAGAAGAAGAAGACGGGGAAGCGCACGTGCTTGCAAACGCCCGGGAGAGCCAAGCTTGCCTGGGTCAAGAGTCTGTGCTGTAACTTTGTGAGCTACCAGCTCTAACAGGGAAGCCCGGCACAGTGCGCTCGGGGTTTTCTGCGTGTAAGAAATGAAGGAAGGGCAGCTGCCTGGATTAGCCCTGCTTCCCGTTTAGGCTTGGTGAGCCCACAGCGGTTCTGCAGGCTGAATGCTTTGGGCAGCTGCTTTTATATAAATGGGTGTTTCCAATGAGTGCTGCTAGCTGGTTCCTGGAAGGGCCGCAGTCCAGTATGTCCATCCTCATCGTCCTGTTGAAATGATAATCAGAAATAATACGCTTTGGAGGCGTCGGTGTGGGGAATACCGAGTTTAGGATGGCGGCGCCTGGCTCCATTTCCCGTGTCACACAAGCGCAGGTGGGTGAGGGCTGGCCTGTCTCCGCTGGGCCTTCCTCTCAGAGCTGCAGTGAGGCTAAGCCACCCCGGTCTGAGCCGCTTGGAGGTGGATGGGATGCCGCTGCGGTGCGCAAGTCGAGCTTCACCACAGCCCTGTGAGGGAGACCCACCTGTGGCGAAGTGGCTTGCTGGGGCTGCTCCCCGTCTCCTGGGCTCTAGGCTCTCTGCAGCTGCTAATGTGCCCCGCGAGGACGTGACTCCCTTGTCTCTCCTGGCAGGTTCAGGACTTGTCTGATGGATCTCAATGACACCATCGCGGACTTCATTGGCACGACCTACTTCTCAGTTCTGCAAATCCCGTGCTTCTACCTGGAGGAGAGCGACGAGGCCTGCCTCGAGTGGGCATGGTGGGGCGGGTGAGTGGTCAGCCTGCGCAGCGCTTCTGCTGGGGCCGCCCAGGCAGAGCCCGGTTCCCCGCCGAATTCAGAGTAGTGTATTAAAGGGAGTCCCGTCTTCCTATCGAAGATAAGAGTGCAGATAAGGGCACCGAGAGCGACAGGCGCCCTCGTGCGTGGAACCACACGTGCACTAAGTGCGGAGAGAAAGGCCCGTCTGCACTGGCCCGTCTCTGCCTCAGGGTCTGCTGGTGTTTGCTTGGCCAACGTGGGAGCTGCTGCCTGGCCACCTTCTCCTCCCCTTCCTAGGTGTAATAAGCGGGGCCGAATGCTTATGGCTCACACGGTGCCACCGAGCGCATACGGATCCGTGCCATCGGTTACCACCCTGCCCCAACCAGGAACGGAGACCACCAAGGACAGGAAGCACAGGAAGCGGAAGCTGCAGGGGCCAGAACACCCGGGTGTCCCTTGGCAGAGAGGCAGGCCTGGTGAGTGAGCGGCTGTTTCAGGGCGGTGTGGGGGGGGGGGTGACGGGTTGGTGCTGAGAGGGGGAACCCTTGGTCACCTCCCAGTGTTTGAGTCCCAGTGACTGGTTCCAAAATGATGGCCCAAAGGCATACTTAATTTGACACTGCCTTCCTCTCCCAACCTTTCACTTCCTTAAAACCTTTTTTTAGTGTAAAATTTCAATGAGAGAAACAACCACATAGATCTGAATGTTTTGATGCTAATGCATACATGAGAAACGTGATGTATGAAAGTGCAGCTTTGTCCAGATTACACGTAAGATTCAACAAACATGGACCAAACATCTGAGCAAGCATCCATGTGCAGGTGGCACCTCAACCCCATTCCTTCCAGTGTTGGAAGCACCAGAAGGTTCCCTTGTAAGGCCACTTTGTCAGGCTATGTTCAAATGTGCTCTCCATGCTGCGTACTAATAAATACAGTGATTGCGGTCATGTTGCTATAGCTTGCAGATCGTGTTAAACATGCAGGCTAAAAAATGGTAAATTCATTATCAGCACCCACCTCTTGATCCACAGCAGAAATCTCCTTACCTGCCCACGTCCACAACAAAAACACCTTCTTAAACCTCTGAAAACAGTATCAGATCCAGATTGCCCCATGGAGTCAATTTAGCACAAGAAAACAGGCTGAAATGCAGTTGACATAACATTATTGGCCGTGCATTTCTGACGATTCTGGCCATTATCCTGGGGGACCCTGGTCATTCTAGAAAGCTCAGAACTGAATTTCAAGAGATAATTCAGGCACTAAGATCCATAACTGGTGAAGCTTGAAAGTCCAATGAAATAGAAAAGGGAAAACACTGAGTACAAACCTATAAATGGTCCTGATGATACAGAGCAAGATTTGGAGAACTTAATCCACTTTCTTTAATTGGAAGTTACATGATTATAATTGTGGTGGAGAGGAATCCCCTTAAAGCTTATGAAAAATGCATTGATATTTTGAAAATAAAAGTAGAAGAAACCCGTGTATAACATAAAGAATCCAAGATATTTATCCTGAGTTCATTTACCTTATGACAGAAACTCAGCTTTGAAAATATTCATCCATCTAAATTCCAAATCATAGATCAGTTTGATAAGATGAAGCATGATTATTTATTTATTTATTTATTTATACCATTTTTATTTATAGACATATTTGAGATATGTCTCAGGGAATAAATATTCCCAAATAAGTAATAAAACCGGGGTGCCACCTAAATTGCCTGTCAGCTAATATGCTATTAGATATAGTATCTCCAGTCAGCATCAGTTGGGATTTTGATAAGTTAATTGAACAGCCAAATAAATTACTGAAAGTATTAATCAACTGCATCAAAGCTGCCGCATGTGACTGGAGTTCCACGGAAGATAATAAAAGGCCTTCAGCATGAAGAATAACATTAAAATTCTAAACTCCCATGCCCAGAGCCATGACTGCTACTGTGCAACCAATGGCATAAGCTAAGAGGCTTCAAGCATGAATCAAATGGCAAAAAAGCAAGTGTACTTCCACATCTGGTACCTCTCCTCGAGAAAAGCTCTCTCCCACCCCCACCCCCACCCCAGCTGCGGGAAAAATTGTCATGCCCTTAGCCCTTGGAATTGAGTTTAAAGCTCTGATCCACTTCAGGAATAGTGCTGGAAAACCTAATTTAATCAACATTTGAAAAACAAATAGCCAGTTAATGTTATCAAAAGCTTTTTCAGAATCCAAAGAAACCATGGCAGTCTGGTTTGTTCTATCAGTGTTTAGTGCCATCAAATCAGTGTCTAACCTGAGATTATCCATCCCCTGTCTATATTACTAAATACCACATGGCCTGCTGGAATCATTGTTGAATCATAAAAACTTTATGAAGTTTTATCACGGAAATAGCAGGTAATATTTTACTATTTACATTTCATGAGACAGGCCAAAAATTAGAGCAATAAGTATGATTCTTGCCCGGCTTAGGAATTACAGGAGTATCAGCGTTATTTACTGAAGAGGAAAGGGAGCCAGATTTTTTTGATGATTAGGAAGATGGTGAAGTTTTGGAACCATTGGAAGATGTTTTTGTAAACCCATCCTGGGCAGGTGATTTCCCAGAATTCATACTCCTAATCGCTTTCATGACTTCTTCCATATGCAAGGGAGCCGAAGGAAATTGCTGTTGTGAAGAATCTAGACATGGAAGAGCAACATGAGAGAGAAAAAGCACCCAGGACTGCTCCAATAGTTCAAAATCCATGCTAAGCAAATCAGAATAAAACACTAAATTTATGTCTGTTGCAAAGATGTATATCCCAGTGCACTCATTTTAATACCTGTGAAGTAAAATGTTTGTGTTTTCACTGCTTGAGATGATATGCCAGAATGTTACCTAGAAGCTATCAATTTCCCAATATATCTGTTGCCAGCAGATTAAGGCAAATTTCATCTGTTGTGGAAAAATATTATTCAATTCATATTTAACATTCCACAAATCCTGATAATGGTGTGGTGTTGGGCATGTGACAAATTGGATTTTAAAAGTTTCCATTTGTTCTTCAGAGATATTGTTTTGATTTTTCTTTTTTCCTATGAGATGCATAGGCAATAATTTGACTTCATCTAAAAGCTTTACATGTCTCCCATTAATTGGCACAAATCTATCTTTTCCTTCATTAATTGCAAAACACTTTACTGCCTGGGCAGAGGTCTATGATTTAAACACTTCATCATTAAGAAGAGAAACATTAAAGCATCAATAACTGGAACTTGAGCAAGTCTGAAAACTGCAATTGCAGACAAAATTAGATGTGGTCTGAAACTACTAGTGAATTGATTCGATAAGCATTCATTTGTTGAAGTCTCTTCACACGATGGATAGACAATGGAATTCATTTCTACAAGACGGAGTGACAGATACAAATTTGAATGGGTTTAAAATGGAGTTTGGACCAATTCATGGAGGATCCTAGTTCTGTAGGCTATAAGCCACCTCCAGTATCAGAGGCAATATCATAGAATCATAGAATAGTAGAGCTGGAAGGGGCCAAGAAGGCCATCAGGTCAAACCCCTGCTGTGGCAGGACACCACATTACGCCATCCTACTCCAATGACTGTCCAGTTTCATTTTCAATGTTTCTAGTGTGGGAGAGCCCACAACCTCTCTAGACAATTGGTTCCACTGTCATGTTGCTTTGACAGTGAGAAAGCTTTTACTGATATCTAGCCCAAACCTGGGTTGGTTCAAGTTGACTTGATTATTCCCTGTCCTACACTCTGGCAGCAGCAAGAGGAGATCCTTGACCTCCCCCTTTGTGACAGTCTTTGATGTACTTACAGAGGGATCTCATGTCCCCCCTCAGTCTTCTCTTCTCGAGGCTGAACATGCCCAGTTCTCCCAGTCTCTCCTCACGGGGCAGTCTTTCCAAGCCCTGGATCATTTTTGTTGCCCTCCGCTGGACCCTTTCAATATGCCTATAATGCTGGGGAACATGGGTCAGAGGGTGCTCTTGCACTCATGCCCTGCTTGTGGGTTTCCTCCGGGATATATGCTTGGCCACCGTGCAGAGAGACTGCTAGGCTAGATGGTCCCTTGGTCTGATCCAGCATAGCCAATTTTATATTGTTGGGAAGCTTGACAACGAAAACTAATCTAGCAAAAAAGTGATGATGGACAAATAGTAATAAAAGAACAGTATCTTTTAACAGGATGCAGAATTCATAAGGCATCAATTAAATGAAACCATACAGTGGTACCTCGGCTCACGAACTTAATTCGTTCCACAACTCTGGTCATAACCCAAATTGGTCATGAGCCGAGTCACATTTCCCCATAAGGTTGAATGTAAATAAGGTTAATCTGTTTTGTAACTATTTTTTTAATCGCAAAAATTTGAAACAAAGTGACAAAGAACAACAAAGATTGCCGCCACCCCCCTCCCCCACCGCACAACCACAGTTGCACCTGTGTGTGACCATGATCACACGAGCAGAGAGGACGGGCACAATCGCAGCCATCTCCCCC